AAACCCCAAAACCCCAAAACCCCAAAACCCCAAAACCCCAAAACCCCATGAATGGCAAAATTAATGATCAATTGATTGATACTAATACATATAAATTAAGATCTGCAAAATCTTTAACTTAGTTTTAATATCTATTATCATGGAAAGCAAGAGGACTGTCGGAATTATAAGAGAGGAAAAAAATAAATGGGAGAGAAGATGTGCTCTCACCCCTAATGAAGTCAAGTAATTGGTTGAAGATGGCATTAGAGTTGTTGTTCAAACATCACCTAATAGATGCTACTCAGATGAGGAATTTATTGAGGTTGGGGCCATTGTTTAGGAAGATCTCTCAGAATGCAATGTTATCTTTGGAGTCAAGGAAGTACCGATTGACAACCTTCAAGAGAATAAAACTTACCTATTCTTCTCTCATACTATCAAGGCTTAAGAATATAACATGCCATTACTAGATGCTATGCTTTCAAAAAAGATCAGATAAATCGATTACGAATGTATCAGAGAGAATAAGGACTTAAATCCTTAAAGATTGGTTGCATTTGGTAGATATGCTGGTATTGCTGGTGCTTTCGATTTCTTCAGAGGAATCGGAGAATTCTTATTACAAAAGAAACTATAGACCCCATTTATCTTTCTTGGAAGTACTTATATGTATGAAGACTACGAATCAATGAGTGATGCCCTTAAAAGAGCAAGTAAAAATATTGCCAAGAATGGAACTCCTAAATAATATTCACCAATGGTGTTTGCAGTCACTGGTACTGGAAGAGTTGCTTAGGGGATCATAGAAGTATTAGAACAACTTCCTCATGTATTTGTAGATCCAGATGAACTAAAAGATGTTAGCACTAAGTATGATAACAAAAAGATAATAATCAGTCAATTTACTGGGAAACATCTGGTAAGACACAAAGATGGTAAAGAATTCGATAAATGTGATTATTACACTCATCCTAATCAATATGAATCAAAGTTTAATGATTACTTGCCATTCGTCCACTTTATTATCAATGGTATCTATTGGGAAGCAAAGTACCCTCGTATTCTATCAATTGAGGAATTAAGAGAAGCAGTACTCGAAAAAAGATCAGCCTTATTAGGAGTCTGTGATATTTCTGCTGATTACATGGGATCAATTGAGTTTACTACTTAATTTACATCAATTGAAAATCCATTCCTTCTCTACGATCCAGTTAAGGAAGAGTTTTTCAATACTATGAATGAGGCAAATGACAATACCATTCTTTTTCATTCAGTAGATCATCTCCCAGCTGAGATGCCTAAAGAAGCAAGTAATCATTTCGGTGAGAAATTAATGCCATTTGTGAAGGCTATCGTAAATTCTGATCCCACCTTACCTTTTGATCAATAAGAAGATCTTCCAGGAGAAATTAAGAAAGCTGTTATTTGTTGCCATGGTGAATTGACACCAAGTTATCTTTATATCGAGGAGCTTAGAAGAATCAGACAATAGGCAAAGAAGCATTAAGAAGACTATATGAATAAAGTTAAGGAGGCAGAGAGAAAGACTAGTAGTTTGAGAAGAGGAATGAAGTTTGCTACTGTTGTATTCTAGGGTCATTTATTTGATACTAAATTCTTCAATAAGCTAATTGATATTCTAGAAGAAAATAATATCGATTTCAGAGTTATTGAGTGGGAAGTAGGAAATCAATCTATTAAAACATCATAAGTTACTCTACAACTATTCGCTTAAAGCACAGAGTCGATGGATATCAGCAAAGATAAGATTGAAAAATTAGCAGCTATACATAAAATTGAAATCTTTGAAGGAACTGGTCCAGCATTCGAAGGAAATGTCCCAAAGGATATCCATGCCGATAGAGTTTTATGACCAATTTAAATCACGATTTATTATCAAAAAAACGATATTTTTAAACACAAACGATTTAATAATTTTTAACTTAATATAGTTTTTATTAAGTAATTATATACATGCATATTCTAATTAGTAAATTGTGTCCATTTAATCTTCATTCATCAAAGTATGTTTCCCCCTTTCTTTTCATTTAGAATCTCTTCCTCTGTTAAGGTCTTATGAGCTTTACCATCAAGCGTCTTTGAATGATTTTAGTTTGTCTCTTTGATGATTTGTCTAAGCTCAAACGAATTTCTTCTTGTATCATATATGGGTGATCTTCGATCGCTAAAAATAAGATTCAAAAGATATTAATTACCAATAGTCTTCAACTAAAAGCGAAAATGTTGTATTTAAACTATTTATTATGAGGAGAGCACAGACGTATTATATAGCGAATTTTCTATAGGGAGCAGTCTTCAGACCGTAATTCCAAACTTATGGTTGATTATTGAAAATATGATAGATCATAGTGAATGGAATGCCAAGTAAGATTGAGTGTCTAAACATTGTATAGTTTAATCTCCAGCAATAATCCAATTTCAATAATGATTTTATCGGTCGAGGTAAACTAGACGAGTCATAGTCTTCAACAATCTATTTCTTGGATCTTAGGATTGTACCATCACGTTTGGCTTTAGTTTAGGAAGCCAATTCTCCCTCCAACCCTAAATTCTAAGCTATCTACTCTTGCTTGCTTTTGTAAAAGTTTGAGTTACTTTGACCCATTTAAATTAGTATTTATTGATTTAAATTAATTGTTATAATAAAGTGATTAAGGAATAAAATTTATAAGTTGACACTGCAATGTGTAAATTATCTCACAAGTTGTTAAATATTTTATTAAATTCATCATCAAAGCTTTGCAGTTGTCTCTCGTTGGTGTGAATTATTTTCTTAATTTAACTATCATCATCTGTGTTAGACTCTGAATCACTTTCGACCATTTTCTTTACTCTCTTGTAATCTTTTTTGTATTTATAAGGTTTACTGATTTTAGCATTGCTGATCTCAGTCTTATTATAAAGTGGCTATGAATTTTATTTGAAGTGATCCTAAGTGTTTGGTTTTTATGTGTATTCATTTTGGAAGAGACCCTTCTTTGATAAGTCTTGTCTCAAGTTGTAAATCTAGGCAACATCATTTTGATAGGCAAAGGTCCTGGATCTGAATGGATTGAACTTATCAACTTCTTCACTTATTTATCTATTGTTTAAATCAGCAGAAGATTAGATAATTTTGGTAGGAGATAGCATTCTTTAGCTATGGTAATTTTAATGGTTTTCTTTGTTGTTAGCAGAGTTAGAAGTAAGCTTTGATATCTATTCTTAGTTTTTAAGTCTTTAGTTTTCAGCCTATAAATCTAGAATCATCTGCCTTAATTCTTGCATTTCTTAAGTTTGCTTTCTTATAACTTCACTCTTCATATTCATTTCCTATTTCAAGTGTTTCATTGTAATATTCAGAATTTCATTGTCTGTCTTAAGCTTTATAACTTAACTTTGCAACTCATTGTTTGGCATGTGAGCTATCTCGCCACCTGTAGTATCAATTCTTGCCTGATAATTATTATAATTAGAAAGATCATCTTTTTAAGCATCGTCATCAAATCTTATCTTGAAGGTACCCATATCAGATGCCATTTATCTATCAAAATCAACAGAGTCCTCTATATTATTCTATGCTTGGAATCTTAAATTTTTTGATTGAGGTCTCTGAGTTTTAGGAGACATTACAAATTTATGGGCTTTCTTTTTATTTTCTTGCTAGGCTGTATGCTTTAAAATGGATTTAATTGTATTTAGATTTTAAGCATGAGGCTGATCTATTTGTATTAATGAAGTTGATGAATCTTGACATTTTAGCTAGCTCACATTTTATTATATCTTAGGACTAAGTTATGCTGAGATTGACATTGATTGTGACTTTTATTGGATTGGCTATTTTTACTAAGTCTAAACGATTGAAGATTAAGGTCTAGGTATGTCCACTCTAACACTTGTGTTAGTAGTTTAATTCTTAAATTTTTGATTATTAACTGGAGGAGTGTATTCATATTTTGGAATAATTTCATCTTCTTACAAAAGCTTTTCCTAAGCATTTTCACAATTAAGTTTTGATGAAAACTTCTTAAATTTTTCAGATAGCTAAGCTTTCTAAAATTCATATCGTTATTTTACAAAATTCTTACCACTTCTGCTGGAGCAAGCATGGGCAAGGATTCATCTGTAGGCATCTTGATAAATGGTTTACCTAACTTTCTGTTTAAAATTTGATCTAAGAGTAACATTGAGTAAAGATTCCTGTTTTTCTTCCACTGAAGATTTTGAGTCACCATGCATAATTTCTTACACTGTAAAACGATTGTAAATTATGATATACTTACCCATTGTTCGATTCTTATTTTTTCATATTTTTGAAAGACAGAGTGAGGAGCTTGATACCTCTTTTCGATTTCAAGCATTAAAGCTACAAATTTATTATCGATACTCTGATTTATTTGTTCTAAGTTTTAAGCCATTCTCAATTTAAATTATTGATTGTTTAATTTTGTGAATTGATAAAAGTTAATTGATAATTGTAACTGAGAGTGCCAGTAAGAGTATTTAGAAATTAAATAGGTTTAAAATCTAATTAAATTTTATTTTTTAACGACCCTTCGTAACACCACCAATATATTAGAGATGAGCTAAGGAGCAGACCATAAGGATCGTCTTATTGCACAACTGAAGCAAGAGTCACAGGAATTGAGACAACGTGAGAGAGATTACAAGACTCTTCAAGATCAACTTCTCTCCCTTGAAAGCCAGTTCAACCGTCTTAACGATGAGAAGAGAAGAATGGATGATGACTATAAGTCAAGAATCGACGCAAACTTGGTGTTCATTGCCAATTTAAGAAATGAGGTAGATGACTAGAAGACCATTTTGACTGACAGAAAGAAGCAGAACAGTGATCTGTACATTGAACTCGAGAGACAAAAGGATATTTTGGATTAGAGATCAATTGAGATTTCCAGGCTTAGAGCTGATCTCCATTCTCAACAAGATTTAAGTGCTTCACTACAAAGCTAAAAGAAGCAACTTGAAGAAGACCTTTATCAAATTAGAGAGAGAAACAGAGAAGACGCTTAGGAGATCGATAGATTAAATGTGCAAAATGATTCAAGAGGAAAGGAGAGTGTTGAGCTTGCCGCACGCATCCGTGCTATCGAATATGACATTTCCAAATCTTTAGCCCGTATTGATGACCTCAATAGAATTATTGACTAGAAATCATACGATCTTAAGAGCAAAGAGGCAACTGTTGCTGAATGTGAAGGAGAGGTTCACAAGCTCAAGACCCAACAAGCAAGCTACCAAAAAGAATTAGAGCATCTTAAGTCACTTGAGGAGAGATATAGATTAGAAAATGCTGATTTGCAAAGAAGAATCGACCAAGAGGGTGGCAAAAACTTAGATCTATCAGCTACTATCAAGGACCTCGAGTCTAAGATCAGAGTTCGCGAAGAATAAATCATCGCTCATAGAAAGGAACTAGACGGTGCTCGTTACTCTAACTCTGCACTCCTCGACAATAACTCCGGTCTTTAGGCTGAGATTGACGCTTTAAATAACCATATTAGAGTGCTTTCATCTCAAAATGAGGACTTAACAAAGGAGCTTGACCACTTTGTTGAGGCCAACGAAGCTATCAGAATGAGGCTAGATAGAAAGACTAGAGTACTTGATCTAAGAAGCAAAAATGAGTAATAGCTATAGAAATCATTGGCTCATGTGCAAGAGTCAAGATCACCACCTAGACAAAGATGAACTACTTCTCCCTATACTGATTGATTAAGTGCTTGCTGATGATACTATATTGAAATTTTCTATTATTTACTTAAGCTTTGTTACTTGTAATTCTAATTTACAATTTCATGGGGTTTTGGGGTTTTGGGGAGATCGGAAGAGCG